AAATGGATTATATAATTGAATAATCAATAAATAATATGAAATGGATTATATAATTGAATAATTATAAATAATATGAAATAGATTATATAATCGGATAATCACAAATAATATGAAATGGGTCATATAATTGAACAATCATAAGTAATATGAAATGGATTATATAATTGAATAATCATAAATAATATGAAATGGATTATATAATTGAATAATCATAAATAATATAAAATGGATTATAATAATTATTGCTATCAGTATATCCAAAATTTCATTAAACGATTAGTGGATTTCGAAAAAAAATCTCACTTCTTATTGTTACTATATCAAATATTATAGCAAAATAGATTGTCGTATAATTTTAAAGAAAATAAAAATAATTCAGAGGTCGTGACTAAAACTTCATTATCTTTCATTTCTTTGAAGCATTTAGCTAAATTTTAAAATTCTGATCATCGATTTGTTGTTATATAAACTGAATGTATTGCCTCGTTGTATAATATTAAACTTAAAAGGTTTACATAATGCTATTGTAGTTCTACGATATTATTTAATTAATATTGTAATTTAGTGCTTAATTAATTAATACCGTAATTTAATACTGTGACTTAGTTAATGATACACAATATCGTAATTTATTTAAACTTTTAATTTATTTATTTAAAAAACTTTTAATTTATTTATTTAACTTTTAATTTATTTATTTAATTTATTTATTTAAAAAATTTAATTAAATAATATAAAAGCTATATGTACATACATATATTAAAAATTATTAATTAAATATTATCAATGAATAATTTCGAAAATTCTGCATCAAAGATTCAGACGGATTTCTATTAAAGGTTTTTTCCAAAGGTCTTTTTTTCGAATACATTTTTTAGGAAAAAAAAATGCAAAGTTCATAAGCGAAAAGACTGGAGTTAAATGACATTAACAATTTAAAAATATTGGACAAACCATATATAACCAATCCATATTTTAATATTTCTTTTTATATTTGTCAATCAAATTTTAAAAAAATGAAAAATAAAGAACTAAGATTGTGCAGTTGAATATATTTCTTATTGAAATTTTTGCATTATCTTTTAAATTTAAGGATATGCCGAACCTAAATAAACTTCGTCATTTTTTGGGGAACAAGCATTTCCAACAATTGATTAGCTTTTTTTTTGTATCGTATCACTTCCAGATAATTTTCCATTTCTTTTTTTTTTTTTTTTTGTAGAATTAAAAATGCGTCCCATTTAAATTTTGTAAATTTTAGATCCAATTAATTCCTGAAATCCACTCAATTTTACTTCTACCAATCAAATTCAAAGTTAGCGAACCTAAATAAATTTCGTCATTCGGTAGTCCTTCAAGCACATTTGTCAGACTCTTCTAAGTGACTTTGCATTATTTCTTTCTTTTCTTTTGAGTAAAGGATTTGCTTCATTTAAAATTTATAAACTTTGTATTTAATTAATTCTTGAAATTTGTCAAATTTCTATTTGAGAAATAAAAATGACAAAGTCACTGTGAAAAATTACTGGCTCATTTTTATTAGTAATTTTTTTTGCTAAAATTTTTACAAACATATTATGGGTTAGTTTTTATTTAATTGTATCATTTTATTTGTGTAATTTACTTTACTATAATAAAACAGAGTTATTAATGGAGAATTCAGTTAATTTTGATTGCACCATTTTGTTTATCTGTTATAATATCGTGGTTTTAAATAGCATACCGTACGGTACTATAATATATTTTGTATCCTTATATTATCGGTAGTAGGTATCAGAAAAAGTTTAGTGCTATAATATTGTTAATGATAGCTGGTTATTATTAAAATGTATAATGGTACCACTAATGGTGGATAAAAAAATAGATTACTACTAGGCTACCATTAATGGTAAATGTAAGATAACTTAGTGCTGTTGATGTTGTGAACAATGAATAGAGTATTACTTTTGATAGCATAAGTGCAAATCGTTATTTTATGAATGCAAATTATTTTCAGAAGATAAGTTAGAATGACGATCAAATTATCAATCTACATTTGTGTTGTATTGTTCGGTTCTACATCATGGTTGAGTACGAATTCAATATGGTTGGAGCTACCATTACTCACTGAGAAACTACCAGAAGGATGGAGTTTACCGTCGTATCTGGCCGTTATCGTACAGGTAAAGCTAAAGCATATTTAGGTAATAGAATTTATTAGAGTTCCAATGCATTTAAATCTTCAAATACTTTTTAAAAATACGTTTTACTGGTGTAATGAGATATCTTTATTAAAGTGGTGACTGCTACAGCGGCAATAAACTAATTTGAATGTATGTTTGAATTCATCCTCCAATTCTCATCCAGGTTCATTTCACTATCTATATAATAATGCAGGAATCCATATTTACGGGTTCTTGTAATATATAAATAGTAAATAGATAAGAATTGGTGGATGGAAAATCACTAAGAGGAAATTCAAGCGAGGATGGATTGTGACATTACCTATCTCAATCCGGAACGGTTGATTATTGCTTCGATTCGACCTGTTTTATTTCTAAATATAATTAAAAACGCGATGATTAATATAATTTAATGCTGGCATTAATGCATTTAAATTGGGTAGTTAGCGAAATTACATATATAGTAACTCTAAGCTAAGAATCGCGTTATCGAATTTTAAGCTGATAAGTGATTCTATCATGTGATGTTTAAAAGTTCTTGACACAAAATAGACTCTCCGTTTCTGTTCATGAAATGTTCATTTAACTACAAAAACTCCATTTTTTTAAAGACTTTTCTGGTTAATTAGATCTTGACAAGTGCATTATAAGTATAACATTAATTGTTGACAAGTTTATTTCCAGTGCATTTAACTGGGTTTAATTCAGAACTAAAACATATCCAGTATCGTCTGAATTATGCCTTGATATTTATGGAATTAAATTATACTTTTGTACATTCTATACGTTCTTATATAGCCAGTACTGTGCTAATCTTTATTTCTTTCAAATGTTTTAGACAGCTTCTATTGGTCCATTGGTCTACAGCATCATACGTAAATTTTCAAAAATATCCATTCCAGTACCAACTATAATTTTAACATTACTTATATTTTGCTGTTCGTGTACCGCGTTGATGGCACTGTTTTGGTCTCAGACTATCTTCCTGTTTGGGCAAAAACGATCTGTAATACTAATGATCCTACTTTTTGGTACATATCTTTTTTCTTAGAGTCAAATATACTGCTTTCTAAAGGGATTTAGGTCAAATATATTGAGACTTATTGTTTTGATTAATTTTTATTTTGAAAATATTAATGTCATACAATTACATGGCAAATTTGCCGATCCAGGATTAAGTCTAATTCGATTATGTAATGGTGTTACATACAAAGTACATAATCCTATTCCCTGCAAATAATATGGATCACTAATTTCCATTGAGAAAAAGCATCTGGGAAAACTTGTATGTGAAATACCTGTATAAATTGTATCACTTTCCAGGTATGGCATCAGTCAACGCAACATCAAATATCCTCTTCATGCCATTTATGGCTACATTTCATGCTTCTTACTTAACGGCGTACTTTGTCGGGATGGGTTTAAGTTCTTTATTTCCGAGTATTATTTCGATTTTGCAAGGTTACTTTTTTTTCTTAAATTGTATCTTTTCTTATTAAGAATAAACTATAGAGCGTCCAGATTAAGTTTAATAATCTGCCGGTATTACTAACCTTGAATTTTATTAGGTGAATTTCCGCATTAGCGTTTGATCGTATTACCGTAGGAAGATATGCAGTAATGAAGAATTCGGTAAAGATGGCAGTCAAAATTAAGTATTTTATTCACAGTTCTGTTTATTTTTTATTCATTTTATAGGTAGTGGTAATGATTGCGTCGTTGTAAATGGGACGTCAATACAAACCAGTGGCATTTTACAATTTGGTATTCCGGAATTTAATTTTATAATGCTTAGTTGGATGCTTCTCGCTACTGCTGCATTTCTTTATCTGATCCATTTTAAGAATGCTGAAAAAAAAGGACCATTAACGGATCAATTGTCTGTGAAATTATCGATGCCAGTTGACGAACCTGGCTCAGTTAGTGGTAGTGAATTTAACACCCAGAGTGTTAGTTTGAACACCCAGAGTGTTAGTTTGCTTCTTTGTTTTTTTTTCGTATTATCAAGAAAAATGGCTTGGTTAACAATATTGTATCTCTTATTGGTGGTAAAATTGAATATCGTATTCGGCCACTCATTAATCTTTATGAGAATTTCTATGCCTAACCATTAAATCATTTATCTTAATTTTCTTGTCAAACATGGTCTTTATCATCTGGTTTTAATTCCGATCTGTTGCTTACTAATTTTTTTCAATCCAGAAACTAACTCTTTCATGTTTTGACACTAATTATCACTATCACTCTTATATTACCGTGAGATGAACAAGTTGGATTTCGTTCGAGTTTTACATTTCCTAAAAAAAATCGCATTTGGATTACAGTTGCTCATAGTTATGCAGTCAGGCCAATTTCTACTCATTTTTTTTCAGCAGTGTACTGAAACACATATCGCTGAAGACAGATCGCACACTGATAAGTTAAGGCTGGGATTATTGTTATTTTTGATGGCTGCTATAAATGCTCAAATGAATGGAATAGTTCCGAGTGTTCAAAGCTATGCATCTTTGCCTTTCTCTCAGGTTTCATTTTATGAAGGTCCTTGAATCTGTTCATTTTCAAACTGAATCACATTACTTTGTTTACATACTTTCGTCATTCATAAAGCTGGGTACTTTTATTTTGTTAGATTTTACTGACTAGTACAGGATATCTGTATCCTTGTGGATAGTGTGTTGCTCTGACACTTATATACTTATAGCATCTGTGAATACCATAACAATTTACCAGGCAGCGTTTGCTTGCTGGATTTCTCATCAGTCTGTTTTCTTTTAATTTTAACTAATTTTGACTATTCCGACACTTTATTCACTATCGATTATGCTTATACTTCTGTCGCCGATTTTCTTCAGTCGTGACAAAAACTGAGGGTTCTTTCTGCCTCTTTAGTTGATAGTACCTCAAACTTGGGTAATTAAACCTTTTATTACGATAAATTTATTAATACAACAACGAACTTGCAAATATGACATCGATACAACATACATAAGAACAAAAAGATACATAAGAACAAAAAAGACAAATCACGTCCATCCAACCAACCTTAATGAAACACATCTGTAAAAATGGATTAATGCTCAGGATCCTCCGCTTCTTCAACTGCGAGGGTCCTTGTACCGTTTTATGATGATTACAAGAATTAGCATCCTTATGGAGCACCCATTGGTGTTGGGTTCTTTGTTAGAGCAAATGTAAGACGACATGAGCATATAAAACAAAGATGTCTGGTTTTCAAAAAAAATGGGGATTATTATCCCTTTGTTTCTACTCGAGATATCAGCGATAAATTCATCTTTAACTTTTTTTTTTTTGCAGAAAACATATCATTTTGGTTTAACATTATCGAATATCGCGTCACCGATTGCTTGCTTTTTACCTCTTTTTGTGAAAATTACTAGTTTATCTGTATTGGTATCGCTAACGATGGTTTCAACAGTACTAACCGGATTGATTGTTGCTTTTGCAGTCATGAGTCCGACACCTATTTTGCAATTTTCTACATGGGGATCTGTCCTCATTGTATGTTAATTTCTATAATTAAACTTGAAATTTTCTCCCCATATTTCATTTTGAGGGATTTTCCTTATCTTAAATTTGTCTGTTGATTTTTCGGTTTCCCCATGTGAGGTGTTAAGGATTTTTATAATTCTAATAATTTTTTTACATGTATATTAATGGTATTCATCTGTGATAGTATTTTTTTTTAGTCGAAGGCTTATTCAAATCAGCGACATTCATTAGTGTTTAAGTAAATTAACCTTGTTAAGATAATTTTAAACCTTCCTTTGCACTATATTGTAATGAACAGACTAAAATATTGGAAAGATTTTTTCCCTATACTGTCTAGGACGAGTTAAAAAACGATGAGTTTTTTATGAATTATTCAATAGTAATTCATAGTTGGGAAAGGATTAGGGCTAATAACAGTGATGAATAACTTCGTAGAAATATCGGTAAAAATGCTAACAGATGTATATATGCTAAAGAAATTTTAATAAACTGTAACTGATTTGTTTAATTTTTAGATATCCATAGTGGTTTGCTCTGAATCATTGAATGCATTTCTTCGAACAGTTCTAGCAACTTTGTTGGGTGATAGTGCAACTGACAATGAAATACGACTTTTCTGGGGTGGAGCATTTATGCAGGTTGGTATTCTTTACGAAGATTTTAGACTTTGTAACATTTACTTTGTGAAAAATCTAGCGATTCGTGATTTTCGCAAGTCTTACTATCGTATGTAAATCTTTCGCTAATGATAGGATATCATTATCGTATGTAAATCTTTCGTTAATGATATGATGTCTTTCCGTTAATGATATCTTTCCTTGATTCTTGATTGTGAAGATAGGTATCTTTATTTTTAGGTATATAACTTAGAATCTATTCCCATTTCGTAGGAGTTAATCCTTAACGTAGTGACAGGGATATGAAAAACTTTGAGAAATTTAAAAAGATAATATGGAAAAATTTTGAGGATTAGAAGAGGTTGAAAGTCATTTTATCTTATATTACTATTTTTTATTGCTGCCAGTTAAATTATGCTTCTTTTTTTTTGTTTTTTTCAGATTGGATCACTTCTAGGTTCCATTGCAATGTTTCCACTGATCAATATCTTTCATTTATTTGTTTCTGCACCGCCATGTCAGTAAGAGATGTGCCTATTAGATTTTTTATTTCATTGCATTTCTTCAAACACTCTGTATCTGCAGTAATCAAGCTATTATTTTAGGGAACGATTTTTGTTTCAGTCCGATTTCTTGCAAAAGTTTTTACTATTTTTTTGTTGATTATTCAAGAATTTGACGTACAATTTTTCCATCAGATGCAAAACGTGGCGTTTAAAATGTAAAGTTTTTGATGGGTACTGTTTGCTTACTCAGATGATTATGTTAGCGCAACACATAAAAAGATTATTCTCAGCAGGAATGATCAGAAAATCAAGTCTTTGATCTAGTACAATGGTCAATAACAGTACTATTCAGTATTAACTGATCTTCCGTTTCATTCTGTGATATTTTCTGTTTTACCAATGTTTTTTTGCTGCAATTCACATTATTCCTTCCAGAATTTTCTCTGTTCACTGCAATAACCTTTTTATTTTACATTTTTTCTTTCTAAAAATAATTTTCTTCGCGAGGATCTAAAGTTCAATAAATAAGTTTACTGTGATATTACTAATAAATAAGTTTACTGTGATATTACTAACAGATAAGTTTACTGTGATATCAATAATTGTTTATCTTATACTTTCTTTGCTTGGCTTTTGTTCGTTTTATTGTTCTTATTTGCTGTTATATCTTGAAATATCAAGCAGATTTTGCAGTTCAAGTTTCTTTTTGCGGAATTATGGAAGAATGCAAGCAGTTTTTGTGGCCTACCATCAGCTTGTTTACAAATACTTTTTTGTAAGCGTTGGTTGATCATTGAAATTACATCATTTTAGTAGTTCTGTAATTCCTCATTATTGATATTAATGTTATGCTCTCGTCAGAATATTTAAAACTAAATAAAATGATAATTGAGATGATTAATATGATCATGATTAGATGTTTTATTCGTTTATAATCTAACTAGAGGTTTTATACCTTTTTTATTTTGAATGTATGGTAATGTTCTGAGGAGCATTACATAGTTTATATGCATTTGTTATTCATTATTAAGAAATTAATGAATTTTCCTTCCAATCATCTCAATAGAAAATATTTGCAGCAAAATTGTAATTATTGCAGTTAACAATAAAACATGCTTTCATTTACTCCACATTACTTTAATAATTTAAAAAAGAAAAAAATATATTGAAAAATTTTTTCAAAAATTATCATAAAATAAAAAGATTGGAAGTATTGTCAGAAATTATCATTGTTAAAAAATTATAAAAGGAGTTTCATTTAGTCTAAAGGTATCATTTCAAAAAATTATTTCACAATGTGAGTTGTATCGCTTCTTCAAAGATGACAGAAAAGAGGGAGAAAGTTTTGATTATTCAAATATTGGGATTATAAATTAGCTTGATCATGTGATCATTTTGTTTAAAAAAAGATAATGCATTTTTTAGCTAGTTCTTTTAACTTTAAATTTTTTGGAATTTCATGATAAATTTCACATTTCCATTTTAAAACTTCAGTGGCATTTTTATTTATTTTTTTAAAATTTTATTTTTTAATTTTTCGAAAATATTTATCCTTTATATTTGATTCCTTATTTTCCATCTGAATTTTCTCGTATACACTTCTGAAATATTTCATATTGAATTTAATCCAAAAATAAGTCACTAAATAACGTATATGCCAGCATATTTACGATATTAAATATTATTTTAAGCATAGAATGATGGTATTTTACGAATTGAGTGAACTTTTCTCAGAAATTCAATTAATTTATATGGAATAACTTTTTATATTTATTTATGATTTTATATTTATTTATTTATTTATAAAAATTTATTATATTTCTTTATTTTACATTTATTTACAATTTTGTATTTATAAAATTTTATATTTATTTACAAAATTTTATATTTATTTTACAAAAGTAATATGAAATTGTTTCATATAGCAAAGTTACAAAGCTCAAAGTACAAAGCTCATTTTCTGCAAACCTTAAAGTACAAAGGTTATTTTATTGCAAACCTCAAAGTACAAAGTTCATTTTGTGCAAAGCTTAAAGTACAAAGTTCATTTTGTGCAAAGCTTAAAGTATAAATTTTCATTTTCCTATCAATACTTTATTATTAATAACCGTTAAAAATAAAGTATTGGTAGAAAACATGAAATTATACTTTTGTTTTTTTTCTTCTTCCTATTTCATTCAATTATTTCATTATTAAGGATAATAAATGGTGGAAAAGTTAAAAAACCAATAATAAATTCATTCAATGATATTCATCCAATATTCACTCAAACATTGCATAATTTATCACCACAAATAGAAAAATGTATTAATTTATTAGAAGGAAGCATTGGCATCACTCGAGAAAATGTTAATTTTTTATTTAAAAAAATTTGTAAATGCAAAAAAAAGACTTATCTACTTCGGCTTTTTTTTTAACTTGCTTTTTAATTTTTAACTTTTTAATTTTTAATTTTTAATTTGCTTTTTAATTTTTAATCTGCTTTTACAACTTATTCAAGTTATTGATTTTTAATTACCTTAATTAACCGAAGCTAATATTAAAATAAATACATATACTATTATATTACTTATAGTTTACTTATGTTATTTTATGTAAATTAACGTAGTCATTATTTCATTTAATTAGCTACATCAAATATCTTTGATTTCTTTCAGCTTAAATTATGTGAATGCATTAAATTACCTGAACTTATAAATAATTAAATCAGTAGCATATTATTACTATTAACTTGAACTAATTAAGATAATCAAGTTAATACTTGGAATAAATGAAAAATAATTGTGAATATAAAAAAAAGAACGAAAGAAAGAAGCCTTTCGCCTTTTTTTTTTTTTTTTTTTTGTTCATCAATCTATACTTTTTTCATTTCATATCAAAATAAATTATTCATTTAATTATTAGAATAAAATTTTACTTAAAATTAAAATTATAATTACTATTTAAATTTCTTTTGCATATTTACAATTATAGAGTATTTAAATTCCTTTATATTTAAATTTCACAATATTTAAATTTCTTTTAAAAAATTTACAATCAGAAAGAAATTAGGGTTAAGATCAAAAATCGAAATCGAAGTTGAATTTGAAATTACATTGAAATGTTTGCTATATATACATATATATATAGCAAAAAAAGAAAAAAAACATAATTTT